TTTCCTCCTGACCATCTTCTGCCTCAAACCCAGGTATGTGCTCTGACTGGGAATGGAACTGGTGACCTTTTGGTTTGCAGGCAGATTGATGCCCAGCCCACTGAGCCACACCAGTCAGAGCCATTGCTTGAGTCTTGCATGTGGTTTGATCAGGGATCAAAGCTGCAGCCTTGTTTACTTCCCCCCCAAAAAACCCTGTAGAGATATAAAAAAACTTCACATGACCCCTGGCTGTTGTGGATCAGTAGACTGAGCACACAGGCTTCTGAACCAAATGGTCACAGTTGGATTCCCAGTCAGGCCACATGGCTGGGTTGCAGGCCAGATTCTCAGTTTGGGGTGTGTGAGAGGCAACTCATTGATGTATCTCTTACACACATCGATGTTTCTCTCTCTGTCTTTCTCCCTTCCCTCCCCCTTCTCTAACAATAAATAAATAAATAATAATAATATATATATACTTAACATGAGCAGCAAAGTTGGATTCAACATTTAGGGATGACCCACTATACCCAACGGTTCCTTCTGATCTGCACCAAGGTATTTTCCCAACGTGAACACCAGATGGCAGAAGAGAGGCGCACTTGGAACACTTTTTCAGTGGTCATATTGTAGTGTAAAGCAAGTTTCAACAAACTTCAAAACATTGAAATTATGCAAAGCATATTGCTGACACTAACTGCAGTCTATCTAGAAATGAGTAACAAAGGGTTACTAAAAAGTTTTTTTTTAATGTGATGAAATGTACATCTAAATATCATTGGATACCACATTCCTAGATGATACACTATACCCACTTTTCCTGTGGACCTGCAATAAGGTGTCATTCCCCGAAAATGACCACGAGATGGCAGCAGAGACAGACAGATACAATGCATATCCCACTAAGGGCCTGGCTGAAAGATCCCTTGGCTTTTTACCTTGAGTTGCAAAGATGGGTACACCTCCCTGTCCCCCCACAACAGAACTGCACAATGTCATCACTGTTTTCTTCCACTGGTCTCTGCCACCTTCATGCGATTTCATCATTCCATCGCCCCACAACATTGTTCTCTTTGAAGCAGAGAGCTCTTCCAGATGTCTTATGCAGTCTTCCAGGGAATAGAAATTTCTTTCCATAAAGAAGAATTCAGAGAGACAAACTAGATGGCCATGGGAAGGAGCAAGGTCTTCTAAGTACTCTGGAGGAATCAGGACTGCGCAGCCAGGCTGGAACCATTTTCCCTGGTCACCAAAGAAATATGTGCTCTCTCACCTAACCCTAACCTTCCACATCTTCTGCTCACAAATTCCAGACTCTTTTCCTCAGGTGGAGCTTTCAGTTGGTCTGATGGGGAGCAGTACCTGTTGCTAGTAACCTGCTGGCTTTCTGAAACCAGCTCCCACTGCAGGACTTCCTCCCGAATTCATCACAAGGGCATCATCACCTCCTTTGGGTGAAGACTGCCCTTTGGAGGGGCAAGTGGTAGTTCCTTTGTTTGCCCACAATCTCTCTCATTCCACATTATTCTCAAATACCAAAGATTCACTCCCCACCCCACACACACAATCTTCATGGAAATAGAACATTTCCCTTATGTTTCAGTGGAGAACCACTTGTGGAAATCCACTCATGAAGGTCCCCCATCATCCTGCTTAACTCCTGTGGAGTCCAAACAGCAAAGCACTTCATGTAACCAAGCTGGTGCAAATGATTTTCGGAGCCTGATTACGACACTTTCAACATGTTGCTGTCTCCCTCCTGCCATGATGTGATCTGTCCTCAGTGAACATCTGCCATTGAGGGCTCTCCACTGCACCTGGCCTGCCTACCTGTGGGAGAAATCTCCAGCATTAAACTTTGCAATCCACTTCTGACACATTCAGTCAGTCACAGCATCTTCTCCACACAAACCACAGATCTTTTCTTGCCTTACAGTTGCCCTTGTACCTTTCTTGAAAAGACTAAGCCAAAGGGACAGAAAATGTTGCTTATGCTCATGCTTCTTCTCTGTGAAAATGGCCAACCATACATTTACCACTTATGGTGAGATTTTTTTTTTTTATCATATGCTGATAGTACACCTGTCGTGATACAGTATGACATGATGGTTTCAAATAAAGTTAAAGATAAGTCATGGTATCCACTGCAACCCCAACCCCTAATCCTAGCCACTAACCGTGCCACGCACCAGACACCAGATCAGGTGTCCTAAGCCTGTCCCTGACTCCAGATGCCTGACTCTGGACATCATACTCCAGAGAACAGTCTTTCCTCCTGTTTAAACCTGTAAACCCTTGAAATGTAATCATCTCATGTCTAAAACCATAAAGCAGGTTTCTGTGAAACAAGTTACATTAAATCAAGCAAATTAAATAATGCAATGATGATGCACTTAAGACCTGAAATGCATGAGGCTGCTGCTTCCATATCAAGGCATGCCCTTCCAAAGCAAAATTGATGAAAGTAAATGTGGTGTCCTCCTGTTTAAAAAATTCTGGGTAGCAGGAGAAGTTATTCACAGCATAAGAAGACCATCCATGGAATTGAAGAAAATGGTTGCACATTATACTTTCGATCAGACTCTTTCTTCCACAGCAAAGAACTTTATGACTAATCAATGAAGAGACACCTATATTATTTTAAACATTTTATTTATTTATTTTTAGAGAGGGTGAGGGAGGATGAAAAAGAGGGAGAGAAACATCAATCTGTGGTTGCCTCTCACATGCCCCCTACTGGGGACCTGGCCCACAACCCAGGCATGTGCCCTGACCGGGAATTGAACCAGAGACCCCTTTGGTTTACAGGTAGGAGCTCAACCAGTGAGCCATACCACCAAGGCAGACATCTATATTTTTAAAATACTTGAATAGTCCCTTCTAATGAGAAGACATTCATAGAAGTGGTAAAAAAAAAATACCAGAGAAGATGTTCCATGGCTACATCACAGCACAATGCCCCTTCCCAGATACTACAAAGGCTATAATGAGAAAGCAAAACTGAGAAATGTTTATGATCACAAACAAAAATGAGAACAATTGACCATTTCTTTCATAAATGTAAAATATTGCAGACCTTGTATAAAATGGTTTGACATTTCCTCAAAAAAATTATCCTACTCTGTTCAATAACTGTACTTTGAAATACAATCTGAGAAATTGAAGACAGATGTTATAACAAACTTGTACATGATTATATATAACAGCACTGTAACTAAGAACTGAAAGGTAGAAAGTATTCAAATGTCCATCCACAGGTAAACAAATACACAAGATTTGGTTGTTCTGTCACTGAAAAGGGACTGGACCCAAGCGATTTGCCCTGGAAAGGTCTTATGTGTGTAGGTTCTTGACCTCCTGCAGCAAAATTTCACAACATAAAGCTAGGGAATTTTGAGAGTTTGTATATTAAATCTAAGGAGAGTGAAACAAAGAAAGGGCTTCAGAGAGAAGAGGCACAATCAGAGCAACAAGAGTGAGCATAGGAGCATCTGCTTCTTGAGAAACAGAAATTTAGATGCAAAGAAGGTCCTTGGAGACAGGATCAGGGGGTGAGCCCGGGAGGAGCTGCCGCTGCCCACAGCTCCCCTGCCTGCAAGTCCCAGGGACCTTTGGAGATAAGGAGAAACAAAGTGAAGATAAACAGCAGAGAAGAGAAGGGAAGGTGCATGTGAACTCAATGAACAGCACATGCTGGGTCCTTTTTTTAGGGTTTTACCTGTTTTGTAATGTTGAGGACTTTAGAGGAGGTCTTAGAAGAGCAATCTGCAGAGAATACTCAGCCTTCCGGGGCCAGGGGTATCACTGATGTGCTCATGCAACAAAGCGAGCACACAGAGTGATCGGGATCCTGCTCTGGTGACTTTCTCCTTCATAAAAGTCACCAGAGAAGGGCTGGGACTGAGGTGGGTCTTCCCCTGTGTGGTCTGGAGTGTGTGAACCATTTGCTCTCAAATGCCCTTGGTCAGGGAAGATAAGGGCCTCAGATTTATTACCTGCCTGTAAATTGCTAGGTCTTATGTAGCTATCAAACTCACTTTTTCCATTCTACTTGCCAAGGAATTTTCCTACTTTTTTTTTTTTTACAAACCTACCTCAACTCCATACACTTGGGATTCATACTGGCATTGAATTGGACACAATGATCATCTGTCCACAGACACCAGACACCAGAGCCAAACTCAGGATCCTGAACACAGACCTTTGACTCCCAATCCTGCACCCTGGAGTGGATCCAAACCAAAACCAGGACTCCAAGCCCAAAGCCCCAAACCCAGAGCTATGTGCCCTCGCTCAAGCCAGACCATGAGGTCCAAACGCCAAACACCAGGTGCCAGGGACTGACATTGGACCTTTAATACCAGATTCCATTCACCAAAACCAAAAGCTTCATCTGCACATGGACCTCACATGCAAACCCAGGACACAAAGCCACATCCTAAGAGGTGCAAGACTATAGACCCACAACCGAATACATTTTGACTCTGAAGCACAGACCCTGGACCCAGATTGCAGATCTATAACCAGGACACCAAGGCCAGATTTTGGACTTGGGGCCCTTTGCCAGGCCCCTGTTGCCAGAGGCTAGAGGTAGGAGCTGAACCAGTTCCTCCCATTTTAAACAACCCTGTGATTCAGTAAGATAAAACCCTTGTCTCTCTGAATGCAAACTTCAAAATTTTACCAAACCCAGCAGAAACAGGCCAAAACAGAGTCAAGAAAAAGAATGCTGACCGTGGAGGGCAAACGTTCATGATCTCTCAGCTGCAGCAGGTTCAGGAGTTTGTACTATCTCATTGTTCATTCCACACTGCTGATATAGGAAACTTTGAAAAACCTCTGTTTAACCTGTATTTGCCCAGGCCCCAGGCGCCCTAGGGAGAATGATGGGGCTGTCTAGGATAAGTAAACAATAGTGCATTAGCTAGGACTGAGATGAACACCCCTGCTGTTAAAAACTGACCTTCGAATTTGGCCTTTGTACTCTGCTTCTGCCCCATAGCTAGAACTAACTTCCTCATTCCGCTTCTGTATCCGCTTTGCTACGTAGACGAGAAGACCCTGTAAACTATAAAAAACCCAAGAATCCTTTGTTCGGGGCTCAGAATTTGGACACTGACTCCTCTGGGCCCGCGCACGTTAAATAAACCTCGTACTCCTGAATCCCTCGTTGTCTAGTCGCTTCATTTTCCTGCAACATTTGGTGCATTGGCCAGGAAGCGACCTTTCACAAATTCAGGCAACTTGCCTCCGGCTGGATAAGGGAACAGTGGCCGGAGTTCCAACCAGAGAAACAGGGGTTGCACGTGCCCTGAGATTTCTCAGGCCCCCGTCCGATTGGAACCCACGACCGCCAGCCTGTACTCTAGACGGGAAGTGAGGGTTTTTGGACTACAACCTGACCTGAGACCAGGGGCGCCAAATCGGTAAGGGCCCCGGGGACCTGACCCGAGACCGAACAGAGGCTGATCACCTCAAATCAGAAATCTGGGTTGGGTTCATGGTGAGCCCAACCACCTGGCCCTCACTCGGGTAGGGCTCTGGATCAGATTCATACTGAATCCGACCACCGGGGGCTGATTGGTTGAGTCCAAACAGCCGGAGAATTAGGTGAGAGGGATTGTTTAAATTCAGAGTGCCTGAGAGTGAAAGTGTGAGTGAATGTGCCCCTGTCCTTTGTGTGTCTGCACCCTATCTTGGGGCTCAGCGGGTAAGCACATATCCAGCGCTCTGAGCCCTCTCAGCTATATAAGTAAACCCAAAATTCAGAAAAGAATTTCTTTGATTGAAAAAGTGCGCTCACCCAGCAAGGGCTGCGTGACCCCCTCCCCTTTCCTCCGATCGGCACCCCAGGTGGCAGGCAGGCCGGGAGGGGGGCTATCTCCTCAGGTCAAGAGCCTGGACAATCGAGATTGCCAAAGGGCCGGGCCTCCCCTCCCGGAGCGACCGCTCTCCCATCCCCAGCCACAGAGACAGGGTCTGCGGGTGGAAGCCAGGGGCCCGGTGTGGCTAGGGGCAGGGCGGACTGTCCCCAGTGCGCACCGGCTGGGCTGGTCGCGCTGTCGGGCCTAGGGCAGGAGGAGGTTTCCCCGCTGGCTGGCGCCAAGCCTCGGTCTTCTTCGGGAGTGCCCTCCACCTCGAGCGCTGCACTGTGGACCCCCCTGTGCCACGTCACGCCCGGGCGCGCCCCAGCAAATGTGTGTCCCCGGTGGTGACCCGTTGCCACGTGGGGTTCCGGGCTCCCATACCCCCGCAAGGGAGGAAGAAGAGGAGTAGAGTCACAAAGGTGAGAGTAAAGATGCAGCGTCAGGACCCCTGGGCGGACTTCACCACTGCGCTACCACCAAAGAGATTTAGAACGCTGACTAGAGTGGCTATGCCCCCCCCCCCCCCCCCCCGCTGTTTCCTAGCAACAGGTAAGATTTCAGTGAGCCTGCGGGGCTGGTAGCATTGAAGCTGGTTTTCTAGTGCCGCGTCTTGTGGTGTGAGGAATTTTGAGTTCTAAGATATTTGCCAATAAAGACCTTACAATCCAACTGGTCTGGCAATTGTGAAACGGGCTCATCATACTTTTAAAAGAGTCTTGAGCCTTTCCCCCAAGTTTAATTTTATTGGCCATTTTAACTCTTAACTTGGAGAAGAGGGTATGCTGTTTGCTTTTCAGAATGACCTTTAGAACTGCAGGCAATGAGAGTGAAGCCACATCACAGAAAAGCCTTCCCCAGCGGGTGACGCCTCTCCACACATAGACACTCCTGATCCAGATTTCTCCAAGCTGTGTGGAATTCCAACCAACACCCCTGGAGTGGTCACCTAAGAGACTTTTCCTACCAACTTAAAGGGACTGCATTCGAGAATAGCAAATAGCAGATTTCACAGACCTATTTTGATTTAATTTTATAAACAAAAATAGGGAAATACTGCTGACCGCTCTGCCTGATTTTAGGAATTGTACCTCTACCCCTTGGGGCAAAGGGCGAGAGACAACCTCTAGAATGCCAGCAGCAGGGGACAAGGCTTGTCCCTGGTGGCAGGCGCCGCCTCGGGTTCCTCTCCCTGCCCCCAGAGCTTGGTCGGAAGTCGGGTGGGCGGTGGGTGGGACCCCTCACTGAGGGGGGGGGCCTGTCTGGGCCAGGCTTGATCGCCTGGGAAGCCTTCATGGAGGGACTTGGGAGGGGTACAACAAAGAGCAATGGACTCTCGCCCCCCCCCCCCCCGCCCCCCAGCTTTGACAAAGCCCTGAGTCCCCGTGTATTCTGAGAGAAGCACTTTCTGACTTCGATCACCTTAGGCCTGAATGCCTGCTGGGGAGAGGTGCAGCTCCCTTGCCTTGGTAGAGTTAAGGAAAATCTGGCATCACAAAGACTTACTGATAAAGCTGTGAAATCTGCTCTGCTAGGAGTGCTTTCACTGATATGATAAGGGTCCGAGGGGGGGGGGATGGGTGTGTTCCCAGGGTTTCTGCAAGTCTCTTCCTGACAGACACTCCCTCAGACCTCTTTGAAATGTTATCTACTGTTTAATCTTTGCTGCCCAGGAAGGATTAGTTGGGTCTGCTGTGTGCTTCAGCCAGAGACAAAGCAGCGTGCCCCTGCAAGGCACCAGTGACCCCATTGGTGCAAGAGAGTGCCTCTACCTATATGTTGTTTTGAAACTGTGTTTCAGATTTTGCTCTTTGTCTACTCTGAAAGGAAAAAGAAGGAGCCCACTGGCAGGTGACAAAAGCCAGGTTTACAGGCGCCTACAGCCCTCAGCCTAGCTGGCTTGGACCCAGACCAGACTGCCACAGGGCTTCAGAGACTCGCCCACTCCCCTGGTGGAGGGGAGGGACTGGCCAGAGATCTGGAGTCGTTCACAGGGAGGGAGACTAACCCAGTCTTCCTTGACTCCCGAAAACGGAGCTGCAGGGCTCCCACCTTCAGAGTCCGGCGGGACCTCTGCCCCGCCTCCACTGGTGACTGCAGCCTCAGTAAACCACCCCAATGGGTGGAGAGTAGCTTTGTGGTGCCTCCACACCCACAGGTAGAAGGGGCCTTGGGGGCTTCCAGGATTCCTTAAACCGGAGTCCTAGGACCTTTGCAGGTAGGCAGAACCAGAGTCAGGGTACTGCTATTCTAGGTAAAATAGATGAGCCATGTGAGTGAACCACCTGGAGGACAGAGCATTCGTGGGTGTCACCATCTTACTGTTATAGGAAAATGAAGCGACTGGACACCGAGGGATTCTGGAGTACGAGGTTTATTATTTAACGTGCACGGGCCCAGAGGAGTCAGTATCCAAATTCTGAGCCTCGAACAAAGGATTCTTGGGGAATATACAGATTAGGGGTCTTCCTGTGTAGGTGACAAACGTGGGGTACAGAAGCAGAATGTGATACTTGTTCTATCAGCGGGGGTGCTAGTTCCAGTCCTACTGACTATCCGGCCACCCGCCCTCCCAGACGGCCCCATCATTATCCCTAGGGTGCCTGGGGCCTGGGCAAATAAAGGTTAAACAGAGGTTTTTCAAAGTTTCCCATATCATTCCCCCCTTTTATGCTAAACAGCACTAGTTGCTTGTTTAAGCATAATATATTTTTGTAGGAATAAACAAGTCCCCCCTTTTCCTGGATTTAGAGTATTAATGAGGTTTCTTTCCTCATCATTTTTCTCCTCCTGTGATCTACTATCAGGGAGGGGTTCTGAGGTCTATATTGCAACCAATCACTCATAGGCATAGGCAGGTCATAGGCATACGCCCTATGAAAACAGAAGAACACACAGGTTAATTCACACAACAATCCCCAAACCGTTCTCTGTGCCTGTGAGACTGCCTTTTGGGAAGACATTCCATTGCAGGGTCCTTTGCACCTGTAGTACATCTTCAGTAACATCACAAACCTGGTTTTAACTTTCAGATGAAAGCAAACTTTCAAGACAGTTAGCTGCGCCATTCTGATGTCCAATACTGAGCATTGTGATTTTCCTTGAACTACAGTTTTTCTCCTTAAGATCACCCTCACTGTCATTACAGGGACTCCTTTGGGTACTGCTTTTGATTTTTGACTGTTTGTTTGCATAAACACACCAAGAGCAGCCTGGATCACTGATGATCCTTAAGTCTGCTTTGGTGGAACTCACACAGGGAACCCTTAGATTGACTTCTCAGTCCGCCCCTCAGGGCACAGAAGCAGAGCCACACACCTGCCATCAGGCTTCGCCTGTACCAATTGTTTCACTCAAATCCTTGAGCCTCTATTGTGCCTTCAGGTTCTTTTTTAACCATCTTTCAGGAAAGCAACCTCCATTCCTTCCCTGGAAAGACTGGTATGAACCGCACAACTAACCAGAGTACCAGGCTTTTCTCGTGGGCTTTCACTAGCTTCACAGGTCAATCCCAGTTCCTCTGAGCTTTCTGGTAATGACCAGACCTATATATGCCTCCTTCAGGCGTGACATTCCAGTCAAAGTCCTGGTTAACAAGACTACTATTAATGACTGGTCTTATTGGTTTTATGCAAAGAAGCCTTACAGTGTCATTATTTCTTCAAAATGCCAAATTCTGGAGGGGTCAGGTATGGAGAAAAATACAAAGCGTGATGGAAAATTCTTTTCCTTTTGATACCTATTAAGATTGCATCTCCATGCCTTATACCTTCTATTACTAATTCTACATAATTTCTTTTTAAAACTTTTACATCTCTATTTATTTTTATAACTTCTCACAGACTTTTTGCAATATTCACAAACCTTTTATAGCCTTTTTACCTATCTATATAATTTAGTTTTAATCTCTGTTCTTTTCTTACACTGGGAAGGACTCTACTTAAACTCAGTATCTGGCAGCTAAAAGTCCCTAGAACTATAGGCATTTCCTACAGGCATCTTCTACTAAAAGTCCCTAGATTTGCAGGGACTTTTTTTTTTTTTTTTTACCTTCCTGAAGCTTAGACCTTGCAGGTCAGCCTTGCAAGGTCTAGAAGGCCTTGGTCAGCCTATAAATCAGATGGTCAGCCTTGGACCTCTGCTTATGGCTTTCAAAACTAGAGGTATTCCTATCAGAACCAGTTACACAGAGAACCTGACTGCTGCAGTGTCCACACAGCAGCAGCATACAGCTCATTATCGGAAAAGAAGCCTTAGCCAGTTCTAAGATGGTGACGCCCATGAATGCTCTGTCACATCACACTCATCACATCTGACGCCCATCACACTCTGAGTGATGAGTGTGCAGGTGAGAGATGGCTGTGCAGGTGAATGATGAGTGTGCAGGTGAAAGATGAGTGTGCAGGTGAGAGGTGACTGTGCAGGTGAGAGGTGGCTGTGCAAGTGAGAGATGATTGTGCAGGTGAGTGATGAGTGTGCAGGTGAGAGATGGCTGTACAGGTGAGAGATGGCTGTGCAGGTGAGTGATGTGTGTGCAGGTGAGAGGTGGCTGTGCAGGTGAGAGATGATTGTGCAGGTGAGTGATGAGTGTGCAGGTGAGAGATGACTGTGCATGTGAGAGATGAGTGTGCAGGTGAGAGATGGCTGTGCAGGTGAGAGATGGCTGTGCATGTGAGTGATGAGTGTGCAGGTGAGAGATGGGTGTGCAGGTGAGTGATGGCTGTGCAGTTGAGAGATGGCTGTGCATGTGAGTGATGAGTGTGCAGGTGAGAGATGGGTGTGCAGGTGAGTGATGAGTGTGCAGGTGAGAGATGGCTGTGCAGGTGAGTGATGAGTGTGCAGGTGAGAGATGGCTGTGCAGGTGAGTGATGAGTGTGCAGTTGAGAGATGGCTGTGCAGGTGAGTGATGAGTGTGCAGTTGAGAGATGGCTGTGCAGGTGAGTGATGAGTGTGCAGGTGAGAGATGACTGTGCAGGTGAGAGATGAGTGTACAGGTGAGAGATGATTGTGCAGGTGAGTGATGAGTGTGCATGTGAGTGATGGCTGTGCAGGTGAGAGATGACTGTGCATGTGAGAGATGGCTGTGCAGGTGAGAGATGGCTGTGCAGGTGAGTGATGAGTGTGCAGGTGAGAGATGGCTGTGCAGGTGAGTGATGAGTGTGCAGGTGAGAGATGGGTGTGCATGTGAGTGATGAGTGTGCAGGTGAGAGATGGCTGTGCAGGTAAGTGATGAGTGTGCAGTTGAGAGATGGCTGTGCAGGTGAGTGATGAGTGTGCAGGTGAGAGATGGCTGTGCAGGTGAGTGATGAGTGTGCAGGTGAGAGATGAGTGTACAGGTGAGAGATGGGTGTGCAGGTAAGTGATGAGTGTGCAGTTGAGAGATGACTGTGCATGTGAGTGATGAGTGTGCAGGTGAGAGATGACTGTGCAGGTGAGAGATGACTGTGCAGGTGAGAGATGAGTGTACAGGTGAGAGATGGGTGTGCAGGTAAGTGATGAGTGTGCAGTTGAGAGATGGCTGTGCAGGTGAGTGATGAGTGTGTGGGTGAGTGATGACATAACTGGGCAATTATTTGAAACACTGCATGAGAGTACAATTATTTAGAAATTATTAATTCTGTTTTAGTCAAATATGCCTTTATTATATATCATCATTGTCTTTCTAACTAGTCAATATTTTATTTTATTTTTATCATTATTTATTGCTCTTGCGCCCTCCTGCACCTCCATAACCCCCCCCCTACAATCACCAGGCTGTTGTCAGAGTCTTTGAGTCTGTTCTCTTTTCCTTGTTTGCTCTACCCTCGACCCCTGACCCCTGACCCCCAGCACACACCAGAGCTGACAGCCTGCCCTCTGCCTAGGAGTCTGTCCCGGTTCCATCCTCCTCATCCTCAGGGCTCATCACCTGCTCGTCCAGCTTTATCCCGCAGAGTCCAGAGCTGCTCTTTCACCTGTGCTGGGCGCTGGCCCAGAATGTCCCTGTTTGCTCTTTGTTCTTTTTCTGCGTTTCCTCTGAATTCTTCCATGTGTCCCCTGTGTCTGCAGTCGATAATTCTGTTCATGGTCCTTGAAAAAGTAATTGTCTTAATTTTCCATGAACATTTGTCAAATAAACATTCATGGAAATGAATGTGCAGGGACTCAGCAACCCTGGGCATAATTTGGAAGAATCAAACCCCCCTTGGACTTGCGTTTGAGTCCCCACTGGCCCTGACCCGACGTTCCCTCCGCACTCACACAGACACTCCTGTGGGCAGGCCCCACCTCCACCTGCCCGGTGTCCTGTCTCCTCTCGGATGTCCTGATGGCGGCCTCAGCCTCATCCCAGCAGACGGCTGGTGTTCAGGGGACACAGACCAGTTTCTGTGCTGTGATACAATCTCCCTCCCTGGCCCGCGGCAAGGCCTTGGAATCGTGACCCCTGTCCGGCACATGTTTCGGTGATTGTGACTCTGGTTTAACGGAGTCTAACCACACCGGGCTCTGCCTCGTGTGTTTGTGGCCCACAGGAAACAGCCCTGGGCTCTGCGGCGACCCCGGGACCCCGGCCCATGGGTCCCGGCTCGGCGACGAGTTCAGGACAAGAGCCTCCTCTGCTTCTCTTGCGAGGTGGGCTACCTGCTGCGCGGCTCCGCCTAGCGCACCTGCTTGCTCAACGGGTCCTGGTCAGGGCTGCAGCCTACGTGTGAAGGTGAGTGAACCGGGCCTTCAAGGCCGCTTCACGGTCAGACATGCGATTCCCTCAGACGTGACCAGAGGGGTTCAGACGGTTGCACGGCGAGGCTGCCTTCCCCACCCCGTGTCGGAGAGTCGTACGAAGTAGAAAACAGACCGCGCAGACGGAGACACCTGCTTCAAAGGGCCACGTGACGTCCATTCGCACCCTCTGAGGGCTTACAGCCTGAACAGGCTCCTGGCCTCCTGCTGGTGACACAGTTGGTGCTTTTGTCACATGTTGCGGTGGCCGGTGGGGAGGAGCTGAGTGAGGGACCGGCCAGCCTGAGCGTGGAGGCGCCGACGGGGTTTCTGCAGCAGATGCAGCAGATGCAGCAGAAGCAGGTCTCCGTGTGCGCCCCACTTCCAGGGCTCCGCCAGCCTGTGTGCAGCGCCCTGTGCCACAGGTCACTTGGGGTGGTTTCCTGTGTCCTGATTTGAGTGAATGTACTTCACTGTCACCTTGCAGAGGCAGGGCGGGGATGGGGAGACACCCAGTGACAACAGCAAAATGCCACAGATGCTTTACAGACACTGCATCACGTGCGGGCCTGGCTGCCTTAGCACAGTGGTGGGGGGGACACGGATTTGTCTGGGGTCCAAGAAATCGCTGGTGCCGGTCTCGGGCACTGCGTGTGAGGGGTTTTTTGCGTGCAAGCCTCTCAACTTTTGAGTGCAGTGGTCACACAAATTACACAACTGTTTCCATGTGGATGAATATTTGTTATTAAATCAATGGACACGGATATGCTGGCAGAATATCAATACAAAAAATGCCAGTCAAGTTTTCTTTTTTTTAAAGATTTTATTTATTATATCTTTAGAGGGGAAGGGAAGGAGAGAGGGAGAGAAACATCAATGTATGGTTGCCTTTCATGCGTCCCCTGCTGAGAACTGGCCTGCAGGGAACCTGCCTGCAACCTGAGCATATGCCCTGACTGGGAATCGAACCGCGATTGTCTGGTTCGCAGGCCCGTGCTCAAGCCACTGAGCTACACCAGCCAGGTTCAAGTTTTCTTTAACTTCACCTTTTTCTGCTCTACTGCGCCATCTCTCCTTGCACCCATGTCTTCTTTTATCACGTTATACAGAGCATTAGAAAGTAACATCTACATATACAATCTCAGTACATTGTCTATAACCTAACTGTATCACAATGTACGCAGTGTAAGAATGTAACACAGAAAACGATGGCGTGAGTCGTAAAGTGAGACGTACGCTGACCCCCTCGGGAAGAGCGACCACCCTCCACCGTCGCTCTGATGCCCCTGGGGCCCAGGCCTGGCACCCTCAGGAGGCTTCACACCCCCATGCCCTGTCTCTGCCCCTCACAGCTGTGTCCTGCGGGAACCCAGGCATACCCATCCACGGCAGGATTGTCAGCAGCGATGGCATCCTGTTCTCCAGCTCGGTCATCTACGCCTGCTGGGAGGGCTACCGGACCACGGGGCTGACAAACTACCAGCGAACTCAATACCACTTTCCAACATCCGCTGAACTTTTTAAAATAAAAAGCACATGAGCATTTCAGGTAACATGAGAGGAGTCACTGAAAGTGGAAGGTCAGCAGCTCCAGATGCACCGTTGTGACCCCGTCCAGTGACTGAGGGACCCAGGGCCATCGGTGGCCCGGGCCTGAAAGCAGCCAGCTGTGCTCCCTGCTCACACGTCAGGAAGCATTCCTTTCTCTCTGTCCCCTACTCCTGTCCCCAGTCCCCACCGAGACCGAGGTCCCCTTGCTGCACTGGGGGGACGCACACAGCACCTCCCAGTGGCGCCCCCCCCGCCCCCGGCGAAGGAAGCCCTCATGGCTCCAGGGTTGAGGTGAGCAGGTCCCCCCGTGGCCACCCCAGGCCTCAGGGACAGGCTGTCTGGCACGCGGCGGGCCGCACCGGAGGCAGGAATAGAGAGAAGGCTGCAGGCGCTGACTCTCCCACGTCCCACTGTGGCGCTCCATTCTCGGTCAGCGGGGTCCCCGCGGTCCCTCAGCTGCCCGTGTGCAGCCTGCAGACAGAAAACCAGACGGGGGTGGTGCTGGGCCGTGCACTGTGGTCCATCTGAAGCTAAGGGAACAGGACACCCCTCACCCCTGATGACGAAGGCATGTGGTGCCCCCATGAGTGACAGATTGGGGCTCAGAGTGAGGTTTGCTGGTCATTTAAAGAAGGAGCCTCCCACCAGGGTTGGGGCTTGGCGGGTTCTGAGTGCAGCGGGTTTTTGTGAGTTACGCCGCTTGTTTCTGTCTGCGTGGTGCGCTGCGGCTTCACGCACGTGAAGGGGCCACGTCAGCCTGGGACCGTCCCTGTGTCCTGTGCTGCCAGTCACTCAGTGCGGGTGCTCAGCTCCCCTTTTCCTTCTGGCCGGGCCCCGTAAATTCACGGACCCCTGGCAGCTGGTGCCGCTGCACCCCCAGCGGCCAGGCACGTCCTGCTGGGAGGGCCCCTCTCCCGAAGGCCCCCGTGTTCCTCCTGCCGGTGACGAGGGTCCTGCATCTCCCCCCTGCCGACCCCCATCAGCAGGTCACCAGAAGGTCTCCCTGAACTCACAGCCAGATTCCAGGGGAGAATGGCAGGGACCAGCCCCTGATCCCACTTTGGACTTGTGTTCTAGTTCTTCTCATGAAGTTCAGATAAATGTGCATTTTCTAAAAGAAATACGGACCTCGTCCTTAGGGGCCAGGGCTGAGAAGCTGCTACTGTTTCCGACTCTCACCATCCTTCCTCCGAGGGGTGACTGCCTCTGGGCATTTTGCTCACCATCACGCCTCCCAGAGTCCCACGAGGGAGACGCAGGCAGGACAGGGGACAGCCCAGAGGCAGAGGGTCCGAGTACCCCCATGTGAGGGGTCTCGGAGCGCAGGGCAGAGCACTCACATGGCTTCGAAACGGAGTTTCCAGGCACAGTGGGTCCCAACCCCACACAGGGCCGCCTGCCAGCCCAGACCACCTTCCGTGGCAGGTTTCTTCACCCAGGCCCTGGTCTTGTGTTCTGGATATGAGCGATCTCTCCACACGTGACCGTAACTCGGTCTCTGAAATCACGCTTCCTGACCCCTGGCAACTCCCAGGGCACCTCCAGGCACAGGCTGCAGGGGGAGGCAGCTCGCTCGGAGGAGGCCTGGCGGAAAGACGCGGCGGGGAGCAGACGCACTTCATCTGAAGCTCCCGGCCTGGATGGAGTTTTGAAGGGAGCTCAGATGGAACAGGGTTAGCCAGTGCCCAGAAGTGTCAACAGCAGCAATTCGCTAATAAGTATCCGTTGCTTAAAATGGGAGCAGCAGGGAAAAGGCGGGTTGGGGAAATTAGGACAAAGTGCAGTGAAGAGAGGTGAGGCGGAAATGAGAGGAACACTGTACTTTCAACACCCCAGGGAGCCCCTCTGGTGCGCACAGCTCACTGGATCTAAGGGCTCGGTGACACCAGAGGGACTGGGTCTGGGTGTCCCCCCCACCGCATGGCCCGGGACCTCCGCCCACCGCACCTCTGAGCCCTCATCCCGTCCCCATTCCAGGTGGGAAGCACAGTGTTCTTCAGGTGCAGGAAAGGCTACCACGCCCAGGGCTCCACCATGCGCACCTGCCTGGCCAACCTGACGTGGAGTGGAGCGGGACCCAGACCGAGTGCATTGGTGAGTGAGCCCCTCCGCGCGGCCCCGCCCCCGGTGCCCCCCAGGGTCTGGGGAGGGCTTCCTTTCAAGGGAGGTAATGGGAGGCTGGCCTGGTTTTTTTTTTTTTTTTTTGATTGATGGTTTTTTTAGTTCCCTAGTGTCTCTCAAAGTTGGACTCCCTAGAACGAGCAGCATCAGCGTCCCCTGGGGGTTTAGTGGACACGGGGGAGGGGGAGGTGGTTCTTCGCCCCGGCCCACACTCGCCAATCAGAAACCCCGGGACAGGGCAGGCCAGGTGAGGAGGGACAGTGTCTGGCCTGCCTGGCGCTCCAGGTGATTCAGGGGTCCCCGCGAGCCTGAGAAGGCCCCCTAACCCTTCACCGCAGTGCAGGGCAGTGTAGTGGCATCACAGGGAGGAAGCCGCCATCCTTCTAACGCATCCCCATCTGACTGCCAGGGAGGGCCAAGTGGCTGAGGCGAGGAGTCCGGGGGTCAGCAGGAATGTTGGAAATGACCGACTGTCCCCACGGCTCCTCAGGATCCGAGTTTATGTCCTGACTAAGCTGTGAGCATTCGGAGACGTGTCCACCCTGCTGGGTGGATGGTTAGCGAGTCAGTGTCCACCCCCACCTCCTTGGCATCTCTCTCTCAGTGGTGAACATCGTAAGAGCAGAATGTTGTAAAAATTACCCCCATAGTAGATAAGACAGTGAATTAAACTGTCGTTTTTAAGACCACAAACTGTGAGGTGGTGGAATCAAAGCTTACATGTCCTTGACACTGGTTCTGGTTTTTAAAATTGCAAAAACAATGAACAGGAACATGATGCGTCCATGACTCCCAAATTTGTGTACTTACAAACGAGAGGAGTAATTCCGGCCCAGACTTGGTGGTAGCCGCTCTCCCAGGCCCCTTCCCCAAACTTAGATTCTGCACACACACTGGGCACGGAACCCCAACAGTAAAGGTCGTGTGTGTGTACAATCGACCCCACGACTTTAGCTTTGGTTCCTGGAGCTCATTCATAGTTCCATTCTTCACCCTTACGTTCATTGCCCTCGCCCTTCTCCAACCAGAAATCAAAGTAAATAGACCGAAAAAAATTATAATCTGTACTTTGATACCAAACTAGAAAAGCTAAGAAATCATCAGTTAAGTTTAACTTGATAGACCAAATTAAATGTTCTGCAAGAGACACGATTTGGCATTATTCGGTATTAACTTATAAGAGCATCGACCTGGGCAGGGACTTGTCGAGTTATGGGAAGTTCTGGAATCTGAGTTAGTTCATCACCTTTCGGTCGGGGGGCAGCATGTCCCACGTAGGAGTCAGAAACGGACCACAGAAACCCTGCTTTGCAAGGCTCTCTGTTGTAGACACTGAGTGGAAGGAGACGCGTAGGGTGGACTCACTGATGCTTCTTCCCCTGGAAGCTTTTCCCACCATCGCAAGGGATGTCTTCCGGGCATTCAGGGGTTAGAATGAGAGGGGATGAGATGTGCCTCTCCTGGACACTTGAGGAATCTGGAGAAAGGAAAACTGCTTCAATCTGCCATTTTTTTCAAACTGATTCCAAAATACCTGTTTTTGAAAATGACGATTTGTCTTTTTACTTGTAGGTAAAGGAGTGAGAGAAGTTAATGAGACAGTTACTAAAACGCCAGGTTTGTATACCAGACCAGCTACAGATTTCAATCAAGGGCCGCGACTGGTCCTCTACTCTGGGCAGCGAGACAAATTTAGGTGTGTGGAGAGGGGGGTGTGACAGTGAGGGGGAGGAAGAAAAGCCAGAGAACTCAGTGAACTCTCTCACCTGAAAATTACATGTAAGCAGGACTAGAAGTCACCAAAGAGCAATGAAAAGAGCGTCAACTTCAAAAATGTATATGATGGACTCAGAGATAGGTCATCGTTAGTTATCAGAATTCCCCAGTGTTTCAAAAATGATTTTGGGGGGAGAGCAGACTCCCCGTGGGAGTCCGTCCCAGTGGGAGTCCCGGAGGGTGTCACGAGTAGGTACGCAAGCCTGGCAGTACCCTCTCACCCCACAGTTCCACCCCAGTGTGTTGTAGACAGTGTCACAACTTTCATTTTCCTAACCGGGTGTGTCTCAGGCAGGACCGGTTTTAATAGCTGACATCCGAAATAATCTCTCCATTCCACATAGCCATCATAGAGGAACTGCTGAAAGAAACAACTTGATGCTGTGTTGTAGATCACACAGAAATAATGATTTCACTGAGCGCATTTTGTGACAGTGACGAGGCTATGTATTGGTGTGGGCAGACATCCCTGCATCTGTGAGAAAGAGCCCACTGGAGACAGACAGACAGGCAGGTGGACACACCCTCCTCCTTTCTTGGTCTCTCTGTCACTGCTTGGGCTTTACCTGGATCGTGTAGAAGGAACGCACTTAGTAGCCTTGGACTCGGGGTGAGGGACAGCATTCTGTGTCTTCCTCGGGCATCCCGCCATTCTGAGGGAACGAAGCCACTCACCGAAATCCACGTGTCACGTTCGTTTCTAGGAAACGCCCAGAACAGGCCAGTCTATAGGCAGAAGGTAGATCCGTGTCTGCCTGGACGTGGGGCAGGAAGGATGAGCGATGCCTGCTCATGGACCCCGGGTTTATTCCAGGGGAGGGCACAGTGTCCTGAAAGTGGATCACGGGCGTGGCTGCAGCCCTGGAAACACGAGGACAAACAGCGAGCTCGCAGACCTGGGCTGGCCTGTGTGCTGTGAACGGGGAGCTCGCTGGCGTGTGCGCGCCTTTCGATGGCGCTGCCTGAAAGTGGAGGGGCCCAGGCCGTGGCAGGCGAACCGCTGTCGGCCCTAAGTGAGAAGGTGCAGGTGAGACAGTGAGAGCAGCCAGAGCAGCGGCAGAGGGTCACACTGATGTGGAGACCTGGGGGGTGGCAGAGGGAGGGGGAGGCGAGGGGAGCAGGTGGCAGTTCCTCATCGCATGGGGGCCAGGATGGTTTTGTCACAGCCCCTACGAAACGACACTGAGAGGAAGCCGGACCACCGCCTTGGAGGGCAGTTGGGTGAGGAACAGGGACGCAGGGGGTATGTACTCAGCTAGACTCCGTCCCGAGTGGTCAGACTCTGCTGACGGGCAGCCGTGGCCAAGGGACTGCTGCACCATTAGCGAAGGACGCTGGGAACACCCCAATGGCCATCGGCAGTGGGTTGGCTGGACAAACTCTGGCTCGTTTCATGAACACCAGAGAGCACTGCGTTGAACCTGACCTCCGGTGGAAGAATCTAAAGTGCCCAGTTCAGGTGAAAAAGCCGAATCTAAAACCCGTGAGTCATCCTCCTTGTTGTTGGAAAGGTAATAAAAGAGACACAATCATGTGTGTGAAGAGTTCTTTCCGCAAGGTCACTACCAACACCCCAAAGCTATGGCACGCGAGGGCCCAGGGGACCTTCGTTTCCATTGACCTTTTGACTATTTATTTCCGTACCTTTTTATGCCACTTTAATTAATACCGTGTGCATGTAGTGCCCTTTAAATTGCTAAAACAAGGTAAATAACTGAAAGTAACTAGGAGCGTCAGACGGCCTCGTAATTTCTGGGAAAGGTTAGCTGCGTGATTCACGCACCCTCCTTCCTTGTTAGGGGGTGAAGTCCCTGGTGATGCATAGATTCTCCAGGACTTTGTTGATCGGGAGGCTGACACCTATTATGGCCAGCAGTATGCAGTCTTGTTGCAGAAAACACCTCAGTGAATTTAAGCAGAACACAGATTTGGGAGAGCGAGGGAGGAGACTCCCAGGATTGCAGAACCTGGAGCAGGCCGTCGGGCAGCTTCCTGGGAGCCAGGGGGCGCTCACGTGCCAGGCACGCGGCACTATTTTTTTACGTCACAAACGTGCACGTGGCGCACCTGCTGATCTCGGTGCAGCGCAGGCCCCGGGTTCGGGAGGAAAGCCGCCCAGTCTGGCCTCCCACGTGGCGTCACTTCCGTCCCCGTGGACGCCGTGCGTGGGCCCTGGTTTCGGGCAGTGGAGACGCCTGGCACGTGGGCCTCCCAACAAGGTTGTGAGGTGGGTGCCCTTGGCGCGTGTGTCCAGGACCCCCCCCAACCCTGCCGACGCCAGTGGTGGCCGGGACTCCCCGCAGCTGCTTGTCCCGTCCTCAGCTGGCACCGCCACCAGGGGCATCCGTATTGTCCCCGCAGCCACAGGGATGAGGGCTACGCCTGCCTCAGTCCCTGCAAGTTCAGGGTGGGAGCGTCCGCGTGGCCACTCACGTGCCAGCGCCGGTCTCAGAGATTTAGAGAACAGGCGCCCGGCCTGCAGGCGTGAGCGGGTCTGGAAATCGGCGACCACGTCTGAGGCTCGTGTGCTGCCCGCCAGGAAGGGTCTGGAAAAGATGCGGTTCCGAGGCCTCAGGGTAAAGCAGGCGCGCAGTAGAGCCTCAGGTGGCAGGAGCCGCACCCTGCTGCCTCCGGAAAAGCTGGGGACCAGTATTATTTGCACCTTTTTTATGTGGAAATTCAAGAATTTTTTATTTAAGAAGCTATTTTCGTAGCTGAAACACTTCGTAGGAAGAGAAAACAAGGCTCCCCTGGCAGTTCAGCGGTCCCTGCGTCCTGGCGCTGCGCCTCCCAAAGCAGCCAGCGCTCGCGCTCAGGGTATCGGGAAACGTACGCGGAGTCCGACTGCGTGAGGCCCATTGCCCTCCGCACCCCGGCAGCCAGCGCTACACTTAGGTCGCGCTGACCGTCCCCTGACGGGTCAGGTTTCGCGCCTCCATCAGGGAGACGCACGTTGCTGTTCCTCCGGAGGAGTATTGGCGGGTCCTGCTGGGACTTAACTGCTGCTTCCTGGAGGATTTACACTCATGCATAAAACATGTCTGCGTGTTCGCTGGCGCAGGGCTGATCGACCCTTTTTTTGTCTTCCAGACCCGCCGAGCTCCGACCAGGACTCTGCGCGCCGCCCCCCCCCCCCCCAGCAGCGTCTCCCTGGCGGCGGCCACCCTCGTCCCCTTCTTCGCTCTGATCCT